GGTGTTGAAAAAGTTTGTTCTACATGTCTAGTCTATGTGTTCTCTGGTCAGTGTTCTAAACCTGATTTTCGAAAAGGTTTTCAATCGATATCGGAGTAGTTATCGCTTTTTAGCAGCCAACTCGATATCTACGCTGCATATACGGACTTATCAAAAAGCATTTCAAATCTCTAGCTCTTATATGGAAGGTTTGATTTATACTGATGGACAGACAGATAGGCGGACAGGGCTTGATCAATTCAGCTCGTCGCCCTGATTAAGAATATATATATATACTTAACAGGCCTGTCACGTTTTCTTCTGCCTGTTATATACGTTTCCAAGAAAACAAATCTACCCAGATTTCCAATTTCAATGGGTTCAAGGTATTCAACGTAACGTAAAAGTAATGGATTCAAGCAAATAACAAGTTGTCTGGGAGTTAACAACCGAATTTTAAGGTGTACATATTTTAATTCTAGATGTCCAGTCTATCCATTATATATACTGTTGCAATAGTCGCTTACCTGTACAGAAGCTCACACAGATTATTTTGAGTGAGAATACGGCATTTTTTAACTAGCCGTCTTTTTAACAGCAGTGATTGCTAGCTCAAGTGGTATTCAACGTAACGTAAAAGTAATGGATTAAAGCAAATACCAAGTTGTCTGGGAGTTAACAGTCGAATTTTAGTGTGTAAAAATCTTAATTCTACATGTCCAGACTATCTATTATATATATAGTTGCTATAGTAGCTTACCTGCACGGAAGCTCACACAGATTATTTTGTGAGTGAGAATGCGGCACTTTAGAACTAGTCGTCTTATTAACATCAATAATTACTAGCTCAAGTGCCGAGCCAGTAAGACTGCGGTCACTACCACGTCGTCGCGCTAGATTACCAGAAGGCGCAGTTGTAACAGTGCAAGTACCACAAGCTGTACTGCCTGTCGTCGTGCTCTTAATCACGTCGCCTAAATTTGGTTGATTTGAAAGAGCGGCAGTCATTTTCTTCTTAGCTCCACTTACGGCACCAAAATTAAAGAATCTTTTTTTATGCGAAGGTTGGATACCACTATCAATAAGTCGTTTGTAGTGATCGGAACGTATAAAACGGGGATAACAATCCTTTTTCAACAGAAGCATGTAAATATGTTCTGAAGCGCAGTCAAAAGTGAAACGCGATGGATTCTTAAGACCACGTAGTACATTTTCCATAGTTTTTCCATCAATATTGATTTCACAAGGCGCTCCAGGTTTAAGAAACTCTCTAAAACCAAAAATTCAGCATGATTACCCGTCTATTTATGAAAACAAAAATTCTTACTCAAATATCTCATTAACTGTGCGGGCTACTTTCGAGTGAGCAGTTCGACGGAGACGATTTACTGCAATCCAGAAACGTATGTTTTCGTGAGAGTACTCTCTTTCTAAAAAAGTTGTAAACTCCTGCAACCCTGTGGGATCAGAAACTAATTCCTCTATAGAAATAGCCCAGCGCTTTACGCGCTTTTCAGTAGGTATGTCGACAAAAGTACTATTCAGTTGCCAAAAAGTAACATCTTCAGTAACCCAAGGATTAGAGGGAAGCGGTGGCTGTAGAAAAAAATCATATTCGCTAAATGTCTCCGAGTAGCAAATAAGAGATTCACATGCTTGAGACATTTTCATTCGTGTTCCACTTAAGGTTTTTCTCAGAAACTCCACTTCACGTTGTATATCATCGACTTTTTTTTTTTTGCTATGTTTCTGTCCCTGACGATCTCGTTTTTTTTTTTTTCACGGCTCAAGGGGAGTAAATTGACCGGGTGGTGGACGATGTACACGCCAATAAGCACGTTCTTGTGAGTCGCCTACAATTTTATCACCTTTCTTACGCTCCTTGGCAAGCCGTACTTGCTCCTCGGCCTGCATTGAAATAAAGTCCCATTTGCCTTTAAGGTTTTTATGGAGTGAAGCAAAAGCTTCGGCCTCATATTCTTCTAATGCATGGCGCTGCTTATTACGAAGTGAACGTTTTGCCAAATAAATAGCATACTCCACATTGTCCGGTGCCTTGTGCTGCCACGGCCAATAATAAGGAGTTTGGAAGCGATAAAGAGATGAGTCGTCTTTAACAGTCAGAGACTTTGAATCACTGACAGGGAAAAAGTAGCCATGTAGGCACAACTGATTGGCAATGTTTAATGCCTCCGACTCCTCTATTTGTAAATGATCCATAAGCCACTCAATTAAATCATAGCCTGCATGATCAAAAAATGTCGTTATTTGCAGCTTCAAAGCTTTTTTTTTTTTAAGTGTCGGACTTACCCATGAATGCATATGGAATAGACGTAAGAAACATCTTTTGTTGTCGAACTGGCACACCATGCTCCTGATCCTGCATTTCTCGTACTAGGACTTCCATCTATTAAAGCAAAAAGTATTTAGTATTTGGTTAAATGTCAAAATTTTTACTTGAACAGATTAAAACAAGTATGAAAGCTCTAGTCGAGAGTGCCCGACTACAACAACTATGCACACACACAGTGCATATGCACTCATACACACGCATTGGCCGCAGTGGTGGCTTACTATGAGAATTTAATTGCTTAATAACTTTTCTTGCGGACTATCATGACTATCATGAATGGACTATCATGAATGAAACTTTAGGATTGGGAACATAACATAGATACACATGTATTTGCTAAAGCACAAGTCTCTAGTATTTGAAATACGCCTTTTGCAAATATGTGGGTGAGGGGATGAATAAGGGAGTGGGGGTTAATTTTGACAAAAATCGGAACTCGGCGACTCTTTAAAGATGTAGCAGATTTAAATTTATTACTGCATTTCGATGTTTTAAATCGATAAAAAAAAAAATAACGGGGCAAGTTATCAATTTTTAAGGCAAAACGCGATATCCGCGTGGTATACACTGACCTCGGAAAAAAATTTCAATTCTCTAGCTCTTCTGAGATCGTCGCGTTCAAACATACTGACAGACGGACAGGGCTGAATCGACTCAGCTCATCGTCCTAGTCAAGAATATATATATTTTTTTGGGTCTGCCACGCCTCCTTCTGCCTGTAATATACATTTAATAAAACCATTATGATTTGCCTGATTTGCCATTTTCAATAGGTTCAGGGTATAAAAAATATTCTTAAAACAAGTAAGGCTCCAGTCGAGACTGCTCGACTGGGAGATACCCTGAACCCTCGAATCTGATATTCTACTCACTCTGCACTTCTTTTAAGCGCGAAAATGTATTCTTTCTGTGCACAACAGCCTGTACAAATTGTAAAGCCCAAAGTTTGCTTTTGACGCTTTTATATAAATAGCTGACTATCTAAAGCCGGTCACAGTGCCACAGAGTATTGGGAAGTGCACTTGTCTTTTTAGATAGTCAGCTATTTAAATAAAAGCGCCTCTTCAATTAAAACCTAAAATCGTTCACACCATTAAAAGTTGAGGTAGGCACACGCCAATGTTCATCTCCCATGCATACAAGCAAAGACATACACACACGCACATGTAAAG